TTTAACATGTTAAAATTGCCTTTAAATGAGTTAGATGGGTTTGGTTCAACTTATAAAAGTGAATTTTACCGTAACATATTATATACAGTTGAAAAGTTAGTATAATCAAATATTATGAAGTTTTAATTGCTCACTTATTGCTTAAATTATTTGCGGAAATAGCTTCAATTAATATTTAAAAACTATTTCTAAAATTAAAAATATAAAAAAAAATTGAAATTTATTAATATTTAAAAATAAATATTATTAAAAAAGGTGGGCTTGGGCCGGGCCTACAGTTATAAAAAACCCGTCGGGCCAGACTTGGACTTTGCCTATCATACCCGTAGCGGGCTCGGGTCGGGCTTGGGCCTGTATTATGAGGTCGGGCTTGGGCCTGGGCCAAGGGGTATCCGGTCCCGGCCCGGCCCATTGCCATCACTACAAATATGGTGAATTTATGTTAAGTATTTAATTAGGTATAATATTATATATATAATATTTTTTATATAACATGATATCTTAGAAGATGATTGATTCGATTTTAAATTAAAAATAATTTTTTATCCAATCAGTTTTTATTATATCATATATTATAAAAAATGTTATATAAAAATGTTATATATATAATATTACTTTTTAATTCGTGCATGGAGCACAAAACAGCAGATAGACCCATAGTGCAATCACGTCAGCTGAAAATTCAGATAAAACAACCAGACATACCTCATAAATTACGTTCAGATATTTCTTGTTGATATTAATTACATTCCATTTTCTAGTTATAATTAATTACCCATGAAAATCTATATATTTTCCTGCACGTGATCAACTAAGCATATATACAACCTAGTCACGAAACCGACTCAATGAAAACCCAAGCCTAAAACGAAAATTTAAATAATTGGAGAAAAAGGAAAATTTTAAACAAAATTTAACTAGTGTTTATCTAGAAAATGACCTTTTTAGTAAAAATATATTGACCCTAAATAAAAGGAATTGTGTAAATATAGAAAGGTACCAGAATTTAAACCATAGTTTAGTATGGTTCCTTTTGACTTATTATTTCTACCTATATTTCCAATCTTCTTCCCAAAATACTTGTTTATTTTGTTAGTTGACAAATATTAGTATATATTTTTTAATTATTTTTAGACCCCTTAAGTTTATTAATTTTCTTAAATACCTAAAAAAAGTTTAAAAATTAACAAAAACATCCCACCCACCCATACTTGCCAGATTCTAACAACCACTGGCGATGATAGCCGGAATCTGTCACAACGGCCTACAAACCATCGGAACTGGCCAGTAATTCACCGATTTGGCCTTTTCTGGCCAGATCCACAGTGGATTTGGCCTAAAAAGGCCAGTTGACAGCCAAAGAAATTGTCGTCATTGACAGTCAATGACGGCCATATCTTTGGCTGTCTGGACTTTTACGGCCGTCGACAGCCAGATCTGGCTTTTTCCGATCAAATCCGTGATGGATCTAGCCGGAAAATGCCATATCGACGCCCTACTCGCAAGATCTGACCGGTCTGTATTGTAACGCCATTTTTCGGCTAGATTCCAACGGTGGTGGCCGGAATCTGGCACTGCGGGTGGATGGGGGTGTTTTTGTTATTTTACAAAATTTTTATATATTGGAGTGTTCAGTTAAATTAGCAACCTTAGGGGGTTTTTTTTGTAAATTTTTAAATTTTACCTTGTAATACTCCCCTATTTAACTACCCAAAATTATTCTCAAAATCCTATCCAAAATAATAAAATAAACGGACCCTATATTTTTTTCAGTATCAATCAATAAAAAATCAAATTAAATTTGATGTGTTATTAAGGAAAGTTGGATATGGAAACTTACCGTGAAAGTCTCACCAATATTAATGACTAGGGCACCAGGACGAGGTCGAACAGACATCCATTTGTTGTTAGTGAATACATCTAAACCTCCCACCTCATCCTGGTAAAGTATGGTTAGCGATGTTGGGTCACGATGAGGACCTGTGCCAAGAGTAAGCCCTGTCTCTTTGCAAACAGGATAGAAGTTACATCTCACCAGAGCACAACAATCTTCAAAAAAATTTCTGTAAAAAAATCGATCAACTCCCAGGCTGATTGCCAGAAGTTCCATTATTCCCAGAGATAAGCACTTCATTGCTTCAGAATATTTTTGAAAAATCAGTCTACAAAATTCAGAAAAACTCCATGTTACTACATATAATATGACTATACGTAAACACAAGTTAGGTTTAAGGTTAATCTTACCCTGTCTGCTTAAAATCTTCTCCTAAATTGGATTTGAAGTAGTTAACAACAACGGGTTCCTGAGAGTTCTCATGGAAGTCGATAGATAATGTCTCTTTCCAAGGCAATTTAGAGGAGAAACGATCAGTATGGGAGCTGGCATATCCACTCGTGGCTTCGGGGGTTTTCTTAACCCTCGATTTTAGGGTAGGTGGTAGCTTAAAGAATTTCGCTGTTTGATCATATGCGGCACTTAAAACACGTGAATCAACACCATGATTGATCACTTGGAAGAATCCATGTTTCAAGCAAGCTTCTCTGATTCTCCTTGCAGCTTGCAGAGTTCCCATCTCGTCCCCTTTAAAGAACCCTTCAAGATCCACTAGTGGCTCATTCAGCTCTTCTTGAACTTCAACCAAGTCTCCTTTCGGCCATATGAATTGTTTGGGCACCTTTATTTGTTTCTCCCAGAAAGATGAGTCCAGTTGGTGTTTTTGGTGATGGAGCAAAACTGAAGATGATGACAAGAGAAGTGAAGAATTATTTGAATCCATTTGGAGATGGAGTGAGTCAGTAAAGGGCATGATGAACCACTTAAATAGAATTGGGTAATAACAAACAATATACTTACAATCCAATCTCACAAACCTTTACTTTCACTTACCCATTCTATTGTCTAAAAATAGAAATCTTTTCTGGTTTCAATTGTGCAATAAGATAGATTACAAAATTTTTTATTTAATTTATTTCTTAATATAAATTTCTTTTTTGACCTTTCTAATTTTTTAACCTCTCTAAATAAATTTTATACCATATAAATCTAAATACATCCTAGCTTTTCTTGCCACAGGTTGTACGAAGCAACTTTCATATAAAACAATGTATATTTACTTTCTCCTACTCATTCTACTGCCTAAAAATAGACATCTTTTCTTTTACTTCTCTATATAAATTTTATACCATATAAATCTAAATATATTCTTCAGTTTCTTACCAAAGGTTGTACAAAGCAACTTTCATATAAAACAATGTACCTTTACTTTCTCTTACTCATTCTACTGCCTAAAAGTAGACATCTTTTCCGGTTCCAGTTGTACAATAAGATAGATCACAAAATTTTTTATGTAAGTTATTTCTTAATATAAATTCCTTTTTTACCTTTCTAATTTTTTTACCTCTCTATATAAATTTTATACCATATAAATCTAAATACATCCTACATTTTTGTTATACCTGGGAAAGTAAGGGCTGACATGGGAGGGTCACGTGGAGGATGACCTGCTCCCGTCAGAACAACAAACACACGTCAGGCCTGCCAAACGATATGGAGCTCCCACGCATCCATTTCCCTACTGTAAATCGTGCGAAGTCAGCTTGGGAAGAAGGTGATGGGACATAAAGCCGGATTATATCCTGACAATCACACCAACCCAAGGATTTAATGATGATTACACGCTTCAACTTGATATAAGAAGAAGAAGACCCTTCATTAAGGGGATTCAACCATTTTTTACAGATCACTCTCTCTCTCTCTCCTGTAAACAACATATTTACTTTTTCAAAACCTCTTGTAAGTCAGTCCGCTGTTGCGACCTGACCCACATTCACTATCAATACAAATCAGTGGGCGTAGGACTTGCTACCTTAGCATCCGAACCACTTTAAAAGTTCTGATAGCATTTATTTCTCTTTATATATTCATTTTCATGTGTGCTTTTTGATCAATCAACGTTGCACACGCACTGATTGGTTGGTGCCCAAAATCTCGCATCAACAGTTTGGCGCTAGAAGGAGGGCTGATTTAGTGTCTACCCTTCATCAGAAGAATCTTTGACCTACTGGTCCTGCAACAGCAGATGGCCAAGGCAAGCTAATCAGCGTACTGAAGAAGTTCCAGTTTCACAAAATGCTGCGGGGGATGTCCCGGCAGCTCCACAACTTGACCCTGTCATCATAAACTACCTGGAGAGGTTCGACAATACTCTCCAGACAGTCAACCAAAGGTTGGACCGTTTGGACCAAGGCATGTCATCTAACACAGCTAGGGCGGTGCAACCGCCAAAGACGCCTGCAGGTCGCGCGAAAGCGCGGCAAAGGGCAATAGCCCGTGCCGCGAGCACTGCAGCGCGTAGGCGCAAGGGTAAGCAAGTGGCAAAAAGTAAGCCTACGGGCTCCCAAGGACCAGCGAACACAAAAGGTGCCCCGAGCAGGGTATCGGCAAAGCTGAGACTCGGCGAAAAAGTGATCCCGAGCTGTCCCAGCCACGCGCAGGCAAAACCAAGCGAGAATGCTAGGCGCGATGATTCTTATCACCACTAGCAGAACGACCCCGATCGTTATCAGGCGGGTGGCTCCCACACCTGCGGGGCGGTTCGTACCACCGCGAGGGTCGTGAAAATGCCGCACAATCAATCGCCGCTTCACACGCCTCTAGTCGCGTGTGTCGAGTGTGGCCGAAAATGCCGGTCGAGGCGGGAGGAATCCGACCTCCGACCTTCCTGAACCGCAATCGAGAAGGCCGGACTCACACGGGTGAAAGCAATCCCCATTGGCTCCGTTACCACAAATAGAGGAGCTACAGCGAGCTCTGGACAGGTGGGAGCAGCAAAATGAACAGGCGCAGGTCGCCTCTGCGTCCCCTTTTCTCCCGAAGTATTAGCTGCTCCACTTCCGTCAGGGTTCAGAATGCCAGATATGCGGCCGTTTGATGGGAACTATGACCCTCAGGATCATTTATATGAGTTCAAAAGACCTGATGGAGCTCCACAGGTTTCGGACCTTGAAAATGCCGTTGTTTGGCCGTAACGCTGACTTCTCAAGCCAAGCGGTGGTTAAGGTCGCTCCCGGCGGGATCGATCAGTTCGTGGCCTCGATGAGCACGACGTTCCTGCGGCATTTCCAAGCCAATCGGAAGTTTTCGATGCCTTTGAGCTACCTCAGCAACATAAGGCAAGAAAGAGAGAATCCTGCAGTCTTACATTGATCGATTCCACAGGGAACTCAACAAGGTGGCCCACGCTCCAGAAGAATCCATCCGAACACTTATAATAGCTGGAGTTTGCCCGCAAACCGACCTGTGGAAGAAACTGCAGGCTGAGGATGATATTTCCCTCACCAGATTCTACAACCTGGCGGAAAAGTATCTCCGAATAGAGAATTCGTTGGTTGCACTCCGCCGCCGCGATCACGGCACTTCCAGCAGTATGTCTGGTCGGGAGATAAGGAGAGCTGATCGCAAAGGAGACATTGCGATCAGCGAAAAGAAGAAAACCCCGCTACGAGCAGAAAAATCCTATGCTCCTGTTCCTCGTCGCGACCACGACAGGACTCATATACTCCGTTGAACGTGTCATATCTGCAATCCTTGACAAATTTGAGGAGGCCAGCTTGCTCGGTGAGCCCGAACCAATGAAAACCCCTGCTATGGCAGAAACAGCAAAAAATACTGCCGTTACCATCGGATAACGGGCATCACACTGATGAATGCCGAGCTCTAAAGCAGGCTATCAAAGGATCATCCAGAAAGGGCACTTCAAGGAATACATTGATGACTCCCCAAAGAAAACCAAGGGGAGCGAAAGAAAAAGCATCGTGATCGCAGAGGGTACAGCAATGTGAACCTAATTTTCGGAGGTCCGCACCTCGCCGAAACACGCGAGGAGCGCAGGAAGGTATGCTCGCGAAGCGCATCACGACCCGATTAGATCAGGGTAATGAGCACTTCGCAGCGACCTCAAAAAGCCAGGAAAGGGAACCAATCACCTTCTGCGAGAAGGAGGTAGCTCGCTTGCACCATCCTCATGAGGATGCTCTGGTGATCACGCCCTAATAGGGTGTCATAATGTCTGCAGAATGCTTGTAGACAACGGAAGCGCTGTGAAACTCCTGTTCAAGTCAGTTTCGATAGAATGAACCTAGTCGAGGCCGACTTGAAGCCAGCCTCGATGCCTCTGTACGTTTTTACAGGGATCACCTGATCCCCAAGGGACGATCCGCTACCGGTCACACTCGGAACTACGACGAGGTGACTAGGGTTACTGAATTTTGGTCGTGGACTGCCCGTCGGCTTTAATGGAATCTTGGGGCAACCTCTGCTGAGACCTTCAGGGCAACACTTCCATTTATCACCCAAGATGAAGTTCCCCACTCCAACGGGGATCGGAGAAGTAAGCGGGTCGCAAAGCGCATATCGCGAATGCTACGTAAAAGCGGTACAGATGGCAGATAAGGGCATTTCGCGATGTGTGCCCCACCAGGCTATGACGATCAGCGGATCGAGCACAGCCCAGTCCCGCGGAGTATAACATAGATCGCGAATCCAAGAACCCCCCCAGCGGCCCGGTTGAGGATCTGTCCGAGGTTTCGGTCGATCCGAAAGAGCCGAGCTGAGCCGAGCTGATTGTTAAGGATTGGAAGCGTCTCAACCCATAGCTCGCTTCCGAGCTGGTAAGCTTAAAGGGAACATTGACGTGTTTGCTGGTCGCACGCAGATATGGTCGGGATCAGTCCTGGCATTATTTGCCATTCATTGAATGTCAGCAGTGAAGCCAAGCCCGTTCGGCAAAAAAGAAGGGCGATGGATCCGGAGCGGTACGCCGTACTAAAATCAGAAGTGGAAAACCTTCTCTGGAATGGATCCATTCGTGAGGCTCTCTACCGACCTGGGTTGCAACAATACCTGGTAAAGAAGCCGAATGGCAAGTGGCGGACTGCGTAGACTTCAGCGACCTCAACAAAGCTTGCCTGAAGGACAGCTTCCCCCTGCCGAGAATCGATCAGCTCGTTGATGCCACCTCGGGGCACGAGCTGTTGAGCTTCATGGATGCGTACTCGGGATACAATCAATCCCGATGTACAGACCAGATGAGGAGCATACGACCTTCATTACGGACCGGGGGCTATACTGTTACAAGTCATGCCCTTCGGCCTCAAGAATGCTGGTGCGACCTATCAAAGGTTGGTCAAGGATGTTCTCCGACCAGATCGGGAGGACAATGGAGGTCTAGTGGACGACATGCTGGTCAAATCCCAAGTCGCCTCAGAACATATGCGCATCTCGCGGAGATGTTTGACATACTCACGCTCTATGAAAGCGTGAACCCTTAAATGTTCATCGGGGTATCGTCAGGAAAGTTCCTGGGATATATGGTCAATCAGCGGGGCATAGAAATGAACCCCGAAAAGATTCAAGCTCTGCTCGATATGAAGAGCCCGACCAGCAAAAAGCAGGTCATGAGTTTGAACGGGCGGATAGCGGCACTAGTCGCTTCATATCAAGGCTACAGACTGCTGTTTACCATTCTTCAATGTTCTGAGGCCAATAAGAAATTCGGTGACTCCCGAATGCGAGCAGGCATTCCCAGAGTATAAAAGAACACCTTGAGAAGCCACCTCTCCTCTCTAAGCCTTTTCCACAGGAAATCCTGCTCATCTATATGTCTGTCTCCCAGTTCGCGGTCCGTACAGCTTTAATACGGAAGAGGAAAGGGTTCAATGGCCAATATATATGCAAGTAAGCGTCTGTCGCATGCCGAGATGCGGTATCCGAAAAGGA